GCTTTTGCCATTTAGCCAATCCATGCAAGCAACCTTTCAAATAATGAGATTAGACCCATTAACTTATTTGGCTAGAGGCAATGGAAAGTTGAAGCTAATGTCAAAGCCTATCCACCGAAACTAAAGCTAGGCCACAAGGACAACGACTTCATAATTGACGCAATCAAAAAACAATCGATATTCTAATTCTAAGCTCGCATACCTCAAAAAGCATTTATTGTATCGTGTTTTGTTGATATTGTGTTTTTACCGTTTTGTGAATTGTCTTTAAAGACTTAGAAGGAAACCTCAAAAATGTCTCCGAAATGTTTCTTGTGATTCGCTGTGTGCAGACATGATCTCTCAGAGTTGTAATGGCTACTTCGTTTCCATTCAAATAGGTTTAATCCAATAAAGGAGGAAGTTTAAAATATTTCATGGGTCCTGTACTGAACTGAAGGGAGGGTATTGCACTAATTAATAAACAGACATGTATGCAGAGTAGATGTGCTGCCAGGGTAAAAATAGTCAATGAAAGGAATCTTTAACAGGAAAACAACAAAAGCAAATAATTGATCAATGTTTTAATAACTACATACCTTACATTGGAGGGAATATCTTCATTCTGTTATTTTGTAGGGTTTTAAAAATAAATTATTAGCTTTAAAATGTTTGAAGTTTCCAATTTAGAAATCCGTGGTGCATTTTTATCTCCTTTATTCATTTGTTATTTCTTTATTTTTAGAAGCAACATTAGAAACTTGTTTTTGCGCTTAGCTCACTTTGTTCTCTGTAAAGATTCTAACTTGTTGGGCATTTAATCACTATTAAAGACAAATGTTTTCATTTGTTCAAAAAAATTTTCACTTAATAATAAAATATGACTTGCCACATAAATGTCACCCTTCATGGACAAAGTGCTTTAAAGTGATAACGGGTAACCAAGTTATAAATGTTTAAAAATCATGTCTGGCAGGAGGCATAAGTTTCCCTCTCCAAATCCCAATAACCTAAAATTGAAGAGAGCCAAGGCCTGTTTCCTGCTTTGTGATACTGCCTTATTGTCATTTAGTCGTCTTTAACCACAAAGGCCCCATGCTCCATGTGGTAGATTCCTAAACAGTCATAAATCTACCCCTTGACCAAGTATGGTTTTTCAGCATGTGTTTTGTTAAGCAACAGAAATGTGCACACAAGAACAGTAGGAAAGAATTACTCATATCTGGGTTCCCCTAATGGAATCCCCAGGTCTTTTGATACCTAAGGCTCCAAACATGGCCATGGTTTCTAGATTAGTATAAATTCCAAAAGTAGCACACCAAACTCTAAGAGCAGAAAAGATGTAGAAAAACTCAGTGTTGTGCAGTTTTTTAAAAGTGAATGTTTCATGGGTTGTCTGATTATATATGACAAAGTAAATTTCTCTATGGTTCTTTGTATAACTACAACTTTGTCTCCTTTTCACCTCCAGAGTGAGACATATTGTAGTTCTGGCTGATTTCACTGAAATTTCCTGTTGCTCCTCGAGAAGGAGTCTAGATATCACCAATACTTTTGTGCCATTATTAATTTAAAGGCACATATACTCCTGTTATCTCCTGGAATGAGGATTTATTTTTATTTTTTTAACCTAAATCTAATTAAGAGGAACAAATAGATTAATTTTCTAGACCATTTCTAGTCAAAACGACAGTCTCAGAAGCTATCAAAATTCACTGTATTTTTAATAGTTCTCTTTATTTTAAAATGAGTAAGAACATATTTTGAGTATCAGATTTTTGTCCTCTCATATCCAACTGATTACTTATTTTATTGGTATGAGTGAGCATGTATTCCCCTAAGAGTGAATTTTGAAATATTATTTTTAAAATTAACAGTAAAATTATTTTGATACTGTACTGGAGGTTTTTGTTTCCAAAGATCAATAAATTACTCTGTAGGACATAATAACTCAGTGTGTATTCTCAAATGAAATTGAAATACCTTCCATATACATAAAATCTGCAAAGGAATTTATTTCAGTAGGATAATAGTTAATTTATAGTGTTAAGTTCAAAAAGGCAGAAGAAGATAACAACCCAATTTAGGTAAAGATGTAGCACATATAAGCTGGAGGAAAATAAATGTCAAATAGAAAACCATATCTGAAATTCAGATCATATTTAGATGCACAAAAAACTGTTAAGAGCAGTAGGGGGTGATTGTATTCCAATTAAATTTCCTTTACTCGCATCAACCAGTCTTGGTTTGAAAGTCAATCATGTGATTTACTGGGCTCTTGAAACAGTAGAAAGGGGGCAGCCCATGAAAAGGAGAGGGAACTGATAACATAACATTTCTAAGAAGGCCATGAATTACAAAGTTTGGGCTTGGGGTGGAGTTGGGGTAGGTTAAAAGAAAGTCATTAAAAATAATAATAAAAAAATACAATTTGTTCTTTTTGTGTAAGTGATATCATTCACCGGCAATTTTTTTCTTTTCTGAAAAAAGGGAAAAGCCAGATAAAATATTGTAAGTTTTATGCAATCCTTCAAGAGACTATAACCAGAAATTAGAGCTTTCCTAAGGTTTGGAGTTGTTTGTCAGGGGTTTCCTGTGAACAGGATCAGGGTGGGCGCAACAGGGCATGCATTTATTGCAGTCCAGCACAAATGTCAATATATATTTTTTGGTTATGGGAAACTCAAAGAAGTTGTCTGCATCAAACTGCCTCTGGGTTTAATTTTGAGGAAATAGTACTGTTACTAGCTAGGTGAACTTGGAGAAGTAAGAAAGCATCACAAACGTGGGCCTGGAAAAGAAGTAGGTTTTGCTTTGTACTTTTTTTCAAAACCCAAA